ATGAGATCTCTTGGTTTGGGCTTCTTTTGGGTCTTTTTTGAGACTCTCTGAGCTTCCAGGATTTATATGTCTATTTCCTTCACCAGGTAGGGAAGTTTTCAGTCATTATTTTTTCAAATAGATATTCAATTCCTTGCTTTCCCTCTTCTCCTTCTGGTATGCCTATGATGCAGATGTTGGCACATTTGAAGTTGTCCCAGAAGTCCCTTCTCCTTTTTTTTTTTGGATTCTTTTTTCTTGTTGCTGTTCTGAATGGGTGTTTTCTGCTACCTTATCTCCTCAGTTGCAGATTTGCTCCTCTGCTTTATCTAATCTCCTGTTGATTCCTCCTAATGTATTCATGATTTCACTTATTGTATTATTTATCTCTGACTGGTTCTTTTTTGTTTTCTATTTTCTCTTTTATGTTTTCTTTCTCTTTGTTAAAGTTCTCACTGAGTTCATCTATTCTTCCCCTATGTTCATTGAGCATTCTATTTTTTCCATTTTTTAAATTAAGTTTATTGTGTAACATTGGTTAATACAATTATATAATTATAAGGTATACATTATAATTTGATATCTGTATGTTTTATTGTGCGTTTACCACCCAAAGTCCAGTTTCCTTCAGCTACCATATGCTTGATCTCTTTTACCCACTTCACCCTCTCCCTTTACCTCGTCTACCTCCCCCTCCCCTTCCCTCTGGTAACCACTAGTCTATAGTCCATGTCCATGAGTCTGTTTGTCCTGTTCATTTGTTGCTTTTAGGTTTATCTGTTCTGTCTGGCTTATTTCACTTAGCATGATTATCTTGAGGACTATCCATGTTGTTGCAAATGGCAGAATTTCATCTCTTCTTATGACTGAGTAATATTCCACTATATCGAGCATTCTTATAACAAGTGTTTAGAACTCTGCATTTGGGTAGATTGCTTGTCACAATTTTGTTTAGTTATTTTACTGGAGATTTTTCTCTTCTTTCATTTGAGACATGTTTCTTTGTCTTCCAATTTTGGCTGCCTTGATGCTGCTTGTTTGTTTTTATGTATTAGGTAAGGCTGCTGTGTCTCCCAGTCTTAGTAGAGTGGCCTTCTGTAGTAGGCATGCTGTGAATCTCAGTGGCACAGTCTTTCTTGGTCACCTGCTCTGGATTCTCCAGGCATATATACCTTGTATGGGTTGTGTGTGCTCTCCTGCTGTAGTTGAGCCTTGGTTCCTGTTTTCTCATCAATGGGAGAATTGACTCCCAGGCTAATTGGTGTGATGACTGGCCATGAGCAGTGGAGGAGATGTTGTGCAGGGGCTGACCCTATAGAGCAGGATTCGCTTTAGCAGGGCTGTGGTGCCTGCCCTGTCTGCACTTTAAGTGTAACATCCAACAGATGTCACCCTAGGTGGTACCCGGCTTAAACTAGAGCCAGCCACTGGGCATACAAGCCGGGGTCTCCTTGGAGGAACTCTGCTGCAGGTCAAGTTCCACTGCAAGCTGTGCCCTGCCTGGGACCACTTGGCATGACCCACCAGCAATTCGCAGATGGCTGCCATCTATGCTGGATTTTGAAGTGCCTCACAATGTCAAGCTGCAAACTGAGTCCAGCTGCCACTAGTGCTGGGCTTGGGGTTGTTCAGCTAGAGGTATAGGGTACTCTGAGGCTTGATGCTGCTTGTTTAGGTTTGGTGAACCTGTGAGAGATTTTAGGGAAGTCTGCAGCAAGAGCCAAGATAGGTTGTTTGTATGGAAAATCTACTGGAAGCTGCTTGGATGGGCTCCCATGTTGGGAGGGGTTTGGTTTCAGGAAATCACCAGGGTGGGGAGACCAGTGTTAGTTACTTGATGGAGACTCATATATGTCACTAGCCTGGGTCTGCAAGCTGGCTTGGGGAGGGCTCAACAAGAGAACAATGCCCTCTGCCAGCACTTCTCTCTCTGAGAAAGCTGCCCTTCCAGCTCTCACCCTGAAGCCAGACAACTCATTTCCTCCCCACATGTCCCTGGTACATTTCGAGCTGCTGCCCAAGAGCCAGAGCTCTGAGAGAGTGAGTCCATCAGCGAATAAGTACTCATGTGGGCTCCTTAAGAGAAAAGTCTGCAACTTCCTCAGGCTTCCATCTCACTCTGCCACAATCTTCACTGTTTTTCACAGCCAGAAGTTGTAGGCAATTCTCTTCCTGACACCGGAACCCTGAGCTGGGGAGCCTAGTGTGAGGTTGAGACTCTTCCCTTCTCTGAGGTCCTCCACAGTTGAGATATTTCTCCAGATTCTCAATTGCCACATGTGGGTGTGACACCAGTCCATTTTATGTCTCTGCCCCACCTACCTATTCTGGACTTAGGGAGTACCACTCACATCTTCTGAACTCTGTAAGACTATTTGTAAGAAGTAGGTTTCATCTGGGTGGAAACTTGAGTCAGAACTAGAGAGTGATCAAACAGTTTTAAGTTCTCAGATTGTCTCATGAAGTGGTGAGCTCCCATCCCTGGAGGTATACAGAAAGAGGCTATGTGTGTCCCTGTCAGCACTGCTGTAATGGAGATTCTGTACTAAGCAAGGATTGGACCACACCGTCTTGGAAATCTATAGCTCTGAGCTGCTGGGGCCAAATTTATATTTGTTTTTTAGAACTGGAAAGAGGATCTTTGGCCTTTGTTCCTGGAGTCCCAGAAACAAATTCTCCTTTCAAAAGTCCATTCCACCCTAACTGAAATTCCATTTCCCAGAAATTACCTAAGGCTGGGCTGATGATTAGAGGCCAGCCAGGGGTACAGGGACTGATTCCCATGGCAACCAGGTTGAAAAAAAGCATACCATGTGGAGCATTGTCAGCAACAAGCTAAGTTTGTGTTATAAAAAGATATTTAATTCATTGAGAGTTTATGATGACTTTTGCATTATAAATAGATATTTAATTCACTGAGATACTTCTGACAGCTAGTAGGAAAGTAAATCTCAGAGCCATTCATTATTTTTAAGTATTTCACAGTTAATTGACAACTATTTCTTCCCTTCTAAAACATGTAGACCTTGGTTCTCTAAGTGAGAGAATGGTATATGTGAGTGTTTTTAGAAAATCAACTAATAGTCCAGTGTCACAACATTTCTCACTATTTGTTTCCCATTAAAATGTTTATCAAAATTTTCTGGTTGCATGAGAATCTGTTTGAATCTTTTTAACAAAGGAGATCCCAGATTCAGTGTCTGAATTTTACAAGTCTTTTTCTGTCATTTTTGCCTCATCTTCTTCCTGCTTTTCTAACTCAGAGGCTTCACTAAATTTTAGCCCTTGGCCCTCTGCTCTTTTCTTCCTATTTCTCTTTTCCCTGATGAACAGCTAATCAAGTGATCACTAACTAACTTACACAGCTGTAACACTAGCCTTAACAATACATTTTGGAATGCTCAATGATTGGAAAACAAAATCAGACCTGATCAAAGGATTTCTATCCTAAAGCCAAGAACCAAGGATGGTGCTTCATCCAGTGTTCAAAATGGAAAATTTGAAGGCAGAGAGTAGTGTTCAGCAGAAATTAACAATAAAGTTTTGCTAAATTCAAATGTAAAAGCACTTTTGAAATGCAATTTTTAGAAATACTGTAAGAAATTAGTGTAAATGACTAATAGAATCTCACCAAATGGGAATCAGACTGAGACTTTGTACTTCTACATTCCAAAGACCTTAATATAAATTAGCGTATAGTACTCAGAATCTTTCATTCCGTAAGGATTAAGGGATAGGATGCATTTTTTCCCATTAAGTTGCTGGGTAAATAATCTTCCTAATGTAAGAATACAAGAGTTGCTTTTAAAAATGTACTGTAACCAGCGATAATAATATACTGTGTGTATTTCCCTTGTACATCACTCTACTGAATAGCGTTAGCTTAGAATTAGACAGTGGTGGGAGGTAAGAAACTTTATGGTTAGATTTGAAGAGATCATGACCTCCTCTAGGAGCCATAGATTAATTCTTCAGAGGTTTTGAACAGATTCAAGGAACTAGGTAAGCACCCCATCCAACCCATTAATGTGAATTCCCACCCATGGAGTGAGTGACAAGGGAGATCAGGGGCTCAGAATGTGAGCCAGACTCCATTTGGAGTCCTGTGCGGGGACACTGATAGGTCACCTGCTCCAAAGCAACTACCTCATCTGCTTACTCACTCCCTAAGATCCTGCCATCAGAGGCCAATTCCTTTGGGAAAACAGAGCTTTATTTTTATTTATTTATTTATTTTTTGAGAGGGGCAATTATTCAGCTTTTATCAATTGTTCATATTTAAGGGTTAATTAATGTGCATGTTATGATTGTGAGGTAAGGACCACAAAGCACACTCTGCTGATTTCAAAATTCTGCAGAGGACTAATCCTGATGTTTGAAAGCAGGTGTATAATGGACCTAGAAGTAGTATTGTGAAAAAGATTTAACTTCACTGTTTTCTCCCTTCAGGCTCAACTTGGAGAGAATATTTGCCATTTATTCGTTCCTCAATTCATTTTTTTCAATAATGAAATGGAAGAACAATAGGACATTTTGTTAAATGACCATGTCTCAAATCAAATTAGTAAGTACTATTTTGGAACCTTCCCTTCTCTCTTATTCAGTCCTTGAGTTCCTTTCTCTGTTCTAGTAGCCCCATGCTCCCTTATTCTGCCCTAGAGTTTAGCTCTAATATACTATTTCTTTTAACTTGTAAGTGGACAACAGACCAATGGAAAACCACTGCCATAGTTGTTTATAGTTAAATAGTGAATACTATTCTTTATTCAGAAGAATACATTTTAATAGAATAAATCAGTACATTGAAGAGTTACAGGAGTAGAGAATCTCTCTTCAGGAAACATCTCACCCTACATCTACAGTTGAGGGTAGAGCTCTCAACTCCCAGAATCCCCTTGACCCAGCTCAGGAGATCAATGGCTAAGGGACAGTTGATGGGCCTGATTCCTGGGTTATCAAGTTGGATTTGCAGGTCTCTGAGGATGAAAGAGTGGAGAATAAAGTTCTTGTAAAGGAGAGTATTATACTGGGACTGGAAGTTCCACTGAGGTCACCTGGGAAATTGATGAGGGAGAGTTGCTATTGGTGCCTGGTTCTTTTTCTTGGTTACACTCTTCAAGGGCTATGGTCTGGTCTCTTCCATTTGTCTCTGAGTCTCTGTTTAGAGAAGAAGACATGACTAAGGAATTATCTAGAACTATCAACCTGAAAACAGGTTACATTGTGAGGATCAGGTGATAGAGGAGCATTCAGACCATTGTTTTTCCAGCAGCCCTGGGTTTATAGAAGGAGGTTGACATGAGACATTTACCTGGTTTGGAGACGAGGCCACTTCTTCCACTCTATGGCTAACACCACCCCCAAAGTTACAACCACCACTACAATCAGGCTACTTTGGACAATGTTCCCCATAGTGCATTCCTGAGCAGCAGGTCCTGTAATGATACAAGAGCAGAAACCAAGGCTGTAGAGGTTAGCACATATATGTTTCACTTGATCTCTCATGCCCTCATCTGGCCTCCTCCAAGCTTTAATTGGGAGCCATGTGTTGAAACTGTAGAGTGGGTAATCAGAGGCAGTGCTTACACTGAGGCAGAAGCAGCCCTCCTTTTGGGGGGTGGAAAAGGCCTCGAAAGTATCCTGCTCACTAGAAACTGAGGTCTCACTTCTTCACCATTCCTAAGAGAAAGGTAACCACACTTGAGGTCTCTGACTCCAAACCCTACTCCCTCTGTATTTGTGCTGTTTCCATGGAGACTGTCTCTAGGATCCCAGATGTGTTATGCCAAGACTGTGGAGGGATTATCCACTCACCTGCTGCACCCACCAACTCCAGAGGATCACTAGACTCTGACCAGATATCAGGGTAGGCCTGGAGGTGGTAGCTGCAGCTATAGTTTCCAATACCTTTTTCTTCTACATTGTTGATAACAAAGTCTCCATCCTCTGAGAACTGCTGAGGTGCTTCTTCTCTATCATGTTCCAGGACAAATTCAACATTTGGCAGGGGTCCTCGGCACTGAAGGGTGATGTCCTTACCTAGCTTGAACACAGTGCTGGGCCAGGCTGACAGGGAGGGCTTAGGGGGCTTAACTGCAACCAACCAGGACACAGAGTTAGAAGAAGTGGCCCCGAACCCAGCCCTTTACCCATTTAGGGCTAACTACTAAAAAAAAACCTACAAAATCTAGACTCTTACTGAAGTCTCTAGGACCTTACCAGTCACCCAGATCTCCAGTGAATCACTGTGATTGGAAGCTGCAAAGGGAGCAGAGTCCAAATAATAAACACAGCTATAGATCCCAGAATCTTCACCTCTCACAGCTGGCATCCAAAAGTCAGCCCTGTAGCCACTTGGCCTCTGTAGCTCTAAGGGCTCTTGAAAACCCTCCTTCAACAGGACAAATGTGGAGTCTGGCAGTTCCCCTCGACATTGAAGAGTCATGTTTTCTCCAGGGGCCACCATGGGACCAGGCTGGGCTAAAAGGCTGGGTTTGGGGAGTAAACCTAGAAGAAATTAACTCCTGGTCAGAGAGATGAGGGTACTTTCTAGTGCACCACCCTTGGAATCTCTGTTCAATAAGGAGGAAAACTATTGCTTGCCTCTCTTAGAGCTCTTTGAAAACCATCTGAACCATCTACCATTCTATTCCCTCCTTTCTACATCCCCTTGCCCACTTCAGAGCAGCATCTTCCCCTTACCTGTGACTATGAGTTCCAAGGTGTTGCTAAGCTGTGTCTTGATATGGCTAGTCCAGTCAGGGTGGTAGCAGCAGGAGTAACGCCCTATGCTAGCACCAGATATATTGGTGATGAAGAATGCCCCATTGTTACTGGTGGCTCCCCAGAGCTGCATTGAAGTGGCTTCTCTTTCTTTGTGAAGAATATATCCTACTCCATGGACTGGCCCTTGGCACCAGAGAGTAACATTCTGCCCCATGGAAACCACAGAACTGGGCTCAGCAAACAACCAAGGCTTGGGGAATGTGTCTAGAAAGAGACCAAATATGTAAAGTAGTGAGTTTGGAAACTTATCATTTGCTGAATTAACTCATTATCTTTCTCCTTCTGGACAAAATAGTTCCCTTTTATGGCCTAGCCTAGACTTTAAAGAAGAATTCCCCTCCCTAGCTTTTACTCCAGTTGTATCTTGAGTTCTGTGTTTTTTCCGTCCTTACCAGTCACCCAGATCATAATGGGCTTGCTGAGATGTGATCCCCTATTTGACATGGCTGTTTCATAGTAGACACAGCTGTAGTTTCCAGAGTCTTCTGCTCCAGCAATGTGGAGGAGGAAGTCAGCTGAGTTTCCTGAGGCACTCTGGAACTGTAAAGGAACAGGGGTTCCCTCATACAAGAGTGCAAACCTCATTCCATAGAAAGTCCCTTGGCATTGCAGGGTTACATTCTTCCCAGGAAGCACCACAGGACCGGGTTGTGCCAGGAGAGTAGGTTTGGGGTAGAATTCTGAAATTAAAGAGACCACAACATGAGAGAAGCCTGCCCCCTCCACATTATGCAAATTGCTTTCTCACTGTTATTATAAGAAACATGTTTATTGTAGAAAATTAGAAAATACAGGAAAATCTAATAAAAATATAATTCTACCATTCAAAGATAAACATTCTTTATACATTTTTATATATTTCCTTTCCATTTTTTTCTATACATTCCCATGTCATTGTAGCAGTAACTATTTGCATACGTGGGATCCTACTGTATGCACAGTTGTATAGTTTAATATTTTCACTTAACTTTTTATTGTAAATATTTTCCTATGATGTTAATTAGCCTTTAAAAATTATCACTTGTAATGGCCGCACATTATGCAGCTGTCATTTCAATGTCTTTGCTCTTTCTCTAGGGGCCATTCAGCCCACCAATCTCTGACTGCTCAGCGAAAAAAAAAAAAAGTAGATATTGAGCCTAAAGCTCAAGGCCAAGCAATAAAATGATTTCAGAAATGTGGCAATGTGAGCTTGGCTCTAGGGATTAGATACCCTTATCTGCCTCACTTCTTTCCCCAGAAGTGAATTACTTGGCTCTTCCTTTTTGTCTCTTATTCTTGTATTGATAATAATATAAGCAGCTGCCTTACATAGATTGTTTACTGTGTGGTAGGCACTGTTCTAAGCACTTTCTTGGTGTCTTTTAGAAGGAGCACTTCTTGCTCTCCCACTGGCAGCCCTTCCACCCATTGTCCAGGATAAGTACCACATCCACTTGCATTTTCCCACTCCTGACCTGTCACCACAAGCTCCACAGAGTCGCTGGGCTCAGACCAGATAGCAAAGTCATAATAGCGGCAGCTGTAATTTCCTCCATCACCAAAGCCTACTGAAATGATCAGAAAGTGAGCTGCACTGGCCCCTGGGCTTGCCCAAGACATGTCACTGGATGCAATTTCACTTCCATCTTTGTAAAGAATAAAGTTCATGTGCTGGTGGAAAGTGGAGCAGTTGAAAGTCACTCGGGCACCAGGAGTGACCATCGGGCTGGCCCATATCCTGAAATAGGGCTTCGGGTACATTTCTAGAAGGCAAAAAAGAAAGAAAAAAAGAAAAAAGAAGAAAAGAAAGAAAGATAGCTAAAATAGCAAATATTGGTTCCAGGGAGCTCCTTTTTCTTTAAAAAAATAACATTTTGTTCAGAAATAGGTGCATTTAAAAATTAAGGCAAAAGAAAAATGCCATTTGATTTTACTTATATGAGGACTCTCAGGAACAAAAAGAACAAACTAATAAAAAAAACAGACTCACAAATATAGAGGAAAATCTGGTGACGGCCAAAAGGGAGAGGGGTTGGGAGGCTGGGAGAATGGAGTGAAGAGTTAAAGTACAAATTAGTAGTTGATAGATGATTGTGGGATGGGGAGCATGTGGAGAGCCAGAGGAGAGAAAGAGCAATTAGGGGAGATCGTTTTATAAATTATATAAATGTCCAAGCAATGTACTGTATACTTGAAACTAATAATAAAATATATTTTTTTTAAAAAAAGGCTAGTCTACTCTGCAGATGGACATTTCACAGGGACCCCCTCACCCCCACTCAACTACAGCTGAATCCTCATTATCATCAGGGCAGACAATGAAGGCTAGTGAAAAGAATGAATTGCCATTGGAGCTCTGCTGGTTCTCTGTACCTCAGTTTGCTCATTTGGTCAAGAAGGGGAAATGGTACCTTGTGGAGCAGGTACCATTTCCCCTTCTTGTCCAAATGTCCCTTAAATATTTGCTCTATAGCTAAATAAAATAATTGATACAACAATAATTAGAAAAATTAAATCACCCTCCACAAACTTCAGCTATTAATAACAATTTCAGCTATTAATATCGTGCAGCCAGAGGCCCTGGCACTCCTAGCGCCACGCCTGCCTGGCTCTAAGATTGGACACAGGCTCTTAGGACCAGCAGCAAAGTTCGCTGTGAAGAGAGTATCTGACCCAGAGTTTTGCTTCCCCCCTCCTTCCTCACACACACTTTTCAGCTCTACCTTTTATGACAACCTCCAGGGGCTCACTGGGCTCAGACCACTTGAAGGGGTGTTTTTCAGTGTGAGTGCGGCAGCTATAATTGCCTTCGTCTTTATCCTCCATTCTTTGGATTGTAAAGAAGGCTTCTCTCCCAATTGCACCAAGTTGCTGGACAGGTTCCTGTAGTCCCTCCTTATACAGAGCAAACCCCATGCCTGCCAGCCATCCTTTGCACCGAATTTGTAGTTCTTGGCCTCGGATTGGGGGGAAGGCAGAAATAACAGGTTTGGGGAGGATGTCTAGAAAAAAATGGGGATGAAAAGGAGTCTGAAGTTTTGAGGTGCCCAGATGGAACACTTGGAGTCACTTTGTCAGAAAAAAAAAATCTATCCTGGATTGCCCTTATGCTCCTCCTGTCTCCTCTCACTCTCTTATCCACCCCCGCTCCCACATTTCAGCATTCCTCCTACATGCAGCACAAGCCCATTGACTCCTTGTTTCTGTGCATTCTCCTATCCTCGGGAACAGTGTTGGTGTTCCAGGGGCACTGAGGTTTACTCTAAAATGGTGCTCTGCCTTTTCTTACCTGTCCCCACCAGCTCAAGTGCCTCACTGGGCTCTGATACAGCCATCTCTTCCCATGAATGGCAGTGGTAACTCCCAGTGTGGCTCTGGGTGAGGGTGCCAAGGGGGAAGGCAGCCCGGACCTGCTCTGAGGCCGGGTTAGTTGCAATCCACCCAGTCCCATCCTTCAGCAACACAAACTCCTTAGTTGAGCCAGAAGGGCTTCTGCACCAGAGAGTTAAGTTCTTCCATGGGGCCAGAGGGAAGTTGGTCTCTGCCCACAGCTCAGGCTTAGGGGTTGGCATGATTATTTCTAAAAACAGAAGAGTTAGTGAAACCATCTTCCCTCCCTCTCCTCCTCCCCATTTCTTACCTTTGAACTCCCTACCTAGATCACACAGTCCACTTCCCCTTTCAACTCATTTCTAAACTCTTTCCTTCCTTCCACAGGTGCTGGGGAAAGGGAAAGCCGATGTCTCAGCTGAACCTCAGAAAAGCGCAGAAGCTTGGGGAAAATTTTGCAGGTGGAAAAGCAGATTTGAAAGCTGAATTATGCCAGCAACTTTAGAAAGTGCCCATTCCTAGCTGTCCTTCCCTCCCAACTAGTCTCTCCTTGGCCACTGATACTGATACTCTGTAGTTATTTCAGATCTCCAGGGAGGAATGTCCCAGTCTGGAGCAGGAAAAACTTACCAGTCTCTTTTGTCAATACCCCATTGCACAGTCCTGCAAAAGAAATTGCTGCCAGATCTCTGGCCCCTCCCCTATGGGACTTCACCCAGGTCTTCTGAGCAGACCCCTACCACACCCCCTTGTACTCACCACAGCATAGAAGGGCCATAATTATGAAGAGCATGATGATCCCTTGAGCTGTTCTCAGCAACCAGGCTTCTCTAGTGAGACCAGAAAAGAGATGAGAGGAGTTGCTGGGATAAAGGGGAAGGTGGAGAGAAGGGGGCTGCATTTTATGTCATTGGCTTACTCACCACCCAACAGAGATTGGAAAAGGCCAGGATAATGGTAAATAATCTTTTCTGACATCGATGGCTTTTCTTTTTGAGGGCCTCACCATCTACGAACGTCTTGCTCTTTCATGACCCACGTGACCCTCCCTCCCCTCCCCAGCCTATATCATATGTCAGCTCCCCATGGCCTCTGATTAGGCTGTTACTGGAACTGAGATGTCAGATGTGAAAATGCTTTTGTAACTCCAGCTCTCAGAAGCCCTGGAGCTCAATGTGATTGGCAGCTCTGGGTGGTGGGTGTGGGGATGGAGGGAGAAATCTTGGGTGTTTCACCATCATCAAATTTAAGTTTGGAAGCAGTTTTTATTATGACAGTATTGGTCCTCAGACCCACCTGCCTTACCTGTCTTTGTTATGAAAGGGTTGCTTAGGCAGCCCTGGTGATTTACCAGAGGATTGTCAGTGCTGAGCTAAGCTTGTCAGAGAGTGGGATATCTCTACCCTCACCCAGATTATGACTAGAAATGTGCAGCAGCTTTGAGTTGTGGGTCCTATAGAATTAGATGATATTAAGCAAAAATCCATTTGAAAGAATTTACTTAGAAAACACTGACCCTCTTTCTTAGTCAGGAAAACATGTTTTTAGGCTGCTTTCTAGGAAATCTGCTTTCTGAACTTATTCTTTAATGCAGTGGTCTGGGGCTGAAGTGAGGCACGTGAAGCTACGTTTTTTCTAACACTTGGCTTAGAGGTTACTCCAGTGTATGTGGGACTCATGATGGATTCTGAGGAAAACTAGAACTTGGCCTCCACTGAAACTTTGAAAACTCAGAGTGGTGGTTTTTGCAAAAAGCTTAGGTGGCTTCCTTCTCATTACTGAAGCATTCTGTCTCTCAGATCCCAATGTAAAACACAGACACACACAATCATAGTCATTATCCATATTCCCAGACACTCAAAGGATTGTAGTGGGGGTACAGTCAGAAGCAAAGGTTGTGTGTGTGTGGGGGGGGAGTAAACAAGACATTCAGGAGCTGAGGACCCCACCATGCTAGGAGCTGTCATTATCTTCTTATTTTCAAACAGAATAGCTTGAGTGCAGGCCATAGAAATTGGGGAGAGAGGGGGATGGCCTAGGAAGTGGCAGGAGAACTTGTTTGGCTTGCCATTTCCTGGGTCATAGGAAGCTGTCTGATTCCCTGGTCCAATCCATTACCTCGTCAAGTGCCCATCTGGGTTAAGATTATATTCTCAGAATGCTCTGCACAGATAATTGGAAGCTAGAGTGGCAGAAAGACTGGTTTCTATGACAATTAAGATAAACCACAAGGCTCTGTATCCCTTGAGGGCTAGGAATAAGGGTGGAAAGTTGGTATGGGAGTTGGATAACATCCTGAGTGACAGGACAAGTATGGCTTATCACAAAAGAAAAAAAGTTCTGACCAAGTTAATGTGGGAGACATCAGTCATCTCTGAGGGACACTGTAGTATTGGAAGGAGATTTGAGTACTCTCCTGGGAGGATCAATGAATGAGGTTCTGATTAATCCTCCAGCCTTTGAGTATAATGCATTTCTCCACCCTCAGGTTTGGCTGCTGACCCCTCTGTGAGGTGAAAGAGAAAGAGTTGGGATGAGAAAGTCTTGTATATTAAGCCCAGAGAGTGGGAGATACAACAGATGTGCCCTTGTGGCTTGTCTCAATTGGATCATAACTCATTCCTGAATTTCTGGAGAGCTTTGACTCAGCTAGACTGAGGAACAGGGGTCTGAGACAAGACAGTTACCTGATTCTGAGTCTCCAACACTTCCGTCTTATCCACAGCACTACTGACAGCAAGGCAACAAGCTGCACAATTAGAGACAACCTGATAGCTTCATTCAGAACGTAATTCCAGGTGAGCAACCCTATGGCCAGAGAAGACCAGAAGCAGGGACCTTGATGGGGATAGGCACAAGTGAAAAGACACATGGCGGGAAGGGGGAGGTGGAGAGCTGGTTACTGAATGTGAAGGGAAGGTAAGACAGAAGTGGCCTTCTTTCTTGTGAAGAATGGGAGCCTTGAAAGTATCCTGCTCACTGCCTTTGAGTGACTGTAAGACTACTCCAAGGGAAGGGTGCCCAAATCCAAGAGTCCTGACTTACGAGTCTAATTCTACTTTTCATATCTTTCTGGGCAGTGCTCTAGGATTCCGGGGGTACTATGGCCAAAGCCATGAAGGAATGTCCCTATGAAGAATTGTCCTCTCCTCTGCTGGCCCCATCAGCTTCAGAGGCTCACTGCGATGTGACCAGATGTTGCAGCAACTGTAAGTTCCTGTGCTTTTCCCTTCAACATTATTGATAATGAAGTCTGCATCTACTGAGAAATTTTGGAATGTTACTCTTTCTTCCAATTCCAGAGAAAATTTAAGTACTGGATGAGGTACTCAGCACTGAAGGGTGATGGTCTTTCCCAGCTTGGACATGGTCCAGGCTGACAGGAAGGGTTTGGGGAGCTTATCTGCAACCAATCCAGAGACGAGTTAGATATGACTTTGAACTGAGTACCTCTTTCCCCAACAAATGTTTCTCAGCTCCCTATTAGGTCTTCTCTTTCTTTCTACTTTCACTAGCTCAGTGGCTTCAAAATATGACCATGCATCAGAACCCTTTTGGATCACTCCTTAGTGCTCTAAAGATTCTTGGTGCCCAACTTTCAGTCAGGACCTCATACCTCTAAGTTTCTCCTAGCATGAAGGAAAATAACATTTCCAGGGGTTACAATGGGGCCAGGCCATGCTGAGAAGTAGAGCTTGAGTAACAATCCTGGAAGAGGAAGTAACTAAAATTTTCAAAGGAAATTTTATACTGCCCTCCTATTATGTTTCCCCTTGGCTCATAACTCTAAAAGGATACAGGGCCACTAGTTCCTTTTTAGAACACCGTATTGATGATAAAAACAATAACAGTCATTAGTACTTGCCTACAACCACAAGCTCCATGGTGTCGTGTGATGTCATCCTAATGGAGGTCTTCCAGGAGAGTAGATAGTGGCAACTATAAATGTCAGCATCACTGTAGGTCACATTGTTGAGGAAGAATGACTCATCTTCATTGATGTTGGTAGTATCCAAGAGCTGAAGCGATTTGTCTTCTCCTTTCTTATAGAGTACAAACCCCACTTCATCCACTGACCCTCGATACCACAGGCTCACGTTCTGACCCATTTGGACTACAGGACTGAGCTGAGGAAGTAGCCAAGTCTTGGGAAAAGTGTCTGGAATGAGACCCAAAATATAAAGGGCTAATAGTATGACTTTCCCTTCCCACTGCTTAGGGATCTTGTTCTCCTCTTCCTCTAGTCCACTCTCGGCAAATTCCATCCTAAACCCAGTTATGAAATTTAGCTTCCTTCTTGATTGTTAGCCCTGGCTGCATGACTAGGTTCTCCAGGGTCCCCGAGGGAGTTGTATATCCTTAGCCTATAACATAGGTCTCATAGCATCTCCATCTCTTACTGGTTACCCAGATTTTCAGGATATCACTAAAGAGTGAGCCTCTGTATGACACATCATAGTCCAAACAGAGGTAATGTCCAGCACCATGGATTTTCAAAGCCCAAAAGAAGAAAAATGCCTCATTTTTAGTGGCCTCTTGTGGTAAAAGGGCTTCTTCAACTCTTCAAGACTTATTAAAGTAAAAGTCATTCAATAGATTGGCCCTTGACACCTGAGATTCAGGCTTTCTTCAGGTGTCATGATTGGCCCAGGATAAGCTGTCAGAGCTGGTTTGAGATAGAGTCTTAGAAAGGGAAGAGACTCTGAATTAGAGGTAACATGATTCTTCCCTATTATCCTGTTTTTATTTTCCAAGTTTCTTTAAACAGAAAGTGGCAGCTGAAGTTTACCCTCTGCTTCCTCTCCTTCCTTGCATCTCTATCTCTTCTAGGAGGTAATCAAAGGTAAGTACACTTATGTCCCTGCTGTCTCACCAGACTCTATCAGCTCCACTGAGCTCTAACTATGTGTAGGGGGTATGTCTTAGTGGGATATCTACATCTATAATTCCCTGTGTCTTTAGGTCCCTGAAATGTTAAAGGTAGTTCTTCCAACCTCTGAGAAACCAAACTTCTGAAAAATGACTTTGATTCCATCTTTGTAGAGCAGTATTAAAGATGAATTTTTATTGGAAGAAACCAGTAAGGATGGATTGGCCGGTAAGTTTGCAACTCAGAGAAATCTCTATTAATGGGGCCACACCCTCATTTCCATGTACTGTTCTTCCAAGGAGATACTACAAAATCCAGGGCAAAACTTCCCATACCACTCCTTCTTTCCTGACCCAATCCCAGGTAGACCCACCCATCCATTATTGGAAGAATCAGCTACATCTTATGCTCATTGAGCATTTAGGATGTGCAAGGCATCATACAGGTCTAGAGATATGTAAGTCAGGAATACACAGTCACTCACTGTCAGCAAAAAGCTCATGGCCTAGTGGGGGATACCAGTGATCAGGTAACTGCAGAAGTGTGCTGCGTTATTGGAATCTACGCTGATAGGACATTCACACAACAAACATCCGTACATGCAGATCTTTGTTCTTTAATCCTCAATAAAAGGCTATACTAATAAAATTAATATCTACTATTTATTGAGAACTTATATGCCAGGCACTGTACATATTATATTTGGGAAAATCCTCACAACAACCCTGTGATGTAGGCATTATTATTACTATTATATCAATTTTTCAAATCAGGAAAGTGAAGCACAGAGAGACATTATACAGTAGGTTGGAGAGATACCGTTATCCCATGTTAAAGTGGAGGAAACCAAAGCACAGAAAGGTGAAGTCATTTGCTCAAGGTCACAGAGGGAGGCAGTGTCAGAGGTGGAACTAGAAACCAGGATTACAGCTTCTAAGAACAGAATACTTTCTGTAACACCACAGAAAGAGGCAGGAAAGCATAAGGGGTCTACCTTATGTATACGCAAGGCATATACATAGTGAGTTTTAGAAAATGAGGAGGCCTCCCTGAACTCAAGTGAGTAGGCCTCCCTGAACTCAAATCTTCACCTTTCTGTGTTTTGAGCTTGATGGAGAAATTAAAGCAAATGTGGCAAATTCTGTCTAGAAGCATCCAGGCCATGGTGTTGGGGAGCTGAGGCTGGGGTGTGTGTCTGGCTTTTAGACAATTTAGAGAGCCTTCGACTGTGTGTGAAGCTTGTTACTGCCTTTCTCGATCTGTATATTCAGGACCAAAGCAATTTATAAGCCATTTCTAAAATATAAACTATCACTTTCTTTGTCATTTTTTTTGTTTATTTTTATCACCAGCACTACGAAGAATACATTCTATTTTCCACACTAAAAAAGTGCCTGGTGCATATTACGTGCTCAAGAAATATAGCCCAGTAAATGAATGAATGCATGATATTTAATAAGTAGAAAAAAAACAAAACTTTGATGATCTGAAGCTGCTGGATGTTTGGCTGGGCTTGCTCACTAGCCATGTGATTGGCTCTCACACATCTTCCTCATAGCACATGTGATTCTAATTTGCATCTCAGTAAAATGACAAATGACTCTAGCTCATGGGCCTTGCAGGACCTAGGGACTGGCCGAGGAAAGTAAAATCAGAAACCCTGTCTCATCCAGCCAATATCCCAGAGACAACAATCATCAGACCCCAGCAGCCATAGCCATACCCACCTGCCACAATCAGCTTCAGGGGGTTGCTGGGCTCTGACCAGAGCGAGGGGAACATCTGGATATGAGTGCGGCAGATATAAACCCCTTCACTGTCGGCAATGGAGAAGATGGCCACTGTCCCAGTTGGGACCTGGTAATCCACAGGCTCTGCATATCCCTCTTTGAACAGCATGAATATCAAATCCTGCAGCCAGCCATGGCAGAATATGTTAACATTACATCTAGGAAGAGGAGAGTCCTCAGACTGGATCCAGAAGATGGGCTTGGGCAGCTGGCCTGGAAAGAGATAAACTAGAATTCAAGTAGAGCAATGATAGTGATGCTCAGTGAGCAGCAAAAGAGAAATCTACTTAAATTAGCCTTCCTTGTGTGATCCTTATTTTCCATCCCTCCTTCTCCTATCTTGGTCTTCCTTAAGTTGAGAGCTTGCCTTCTAGATCTGTTCCAGAGTCTGTATTCTCATTCTGCATCGCCTATGGAGAGTAAGCACTTATTTATTAATTCTGGAACACCCACATGTATGTCTGCATGCATTTGAGGTAAATGAATGAATGAATTGAACAAAGCCTACACTAAGAAAGCAAGTTTGAATCCCAGGAGCTCGAGTTTATTCTAGATGAACTATCTCTGTCTTTTTACCTGGTGCCTCCAACTCTAAAACTTTACTGGGCTTTGACCAGCCTATCTCCTTCCAGTAGCAGCACCTGTAACAACCTGTATTGGACTTAGTAAGAGTACCTATTGGGAACGAAACTTGGAAGGTTTTGTAGGAAGGGCAGATACAGGCCATCTGTGTCTTATCCTTCAGCAGCAGAAACTTGCTTGAAATCTGAGAAGGGCTTCTGCACCAAAGTGTGATGTTCTCCCAAGGGGTATGGGGGTAGTTTGTCTCTATCCACAGCTCCAGTTGAGACTGCAGCACTGTCATTCCCAAAGATCGCAAAGATGTGAGAGGTCCAGCCCTCTCTCTCACCTAACGTGTAGCACGATGTCCCTTAAAATTAGCCCTGACCCAGATTCTTCCTTTTGCCTTCCCTTAAGGACAGGAATGTCTGCTTGTGGGGGGTTGAATAGGGACCCCAGGATACTTGTTCAAGAAATCCAAGTGAGTTGGAGAATAAAGTGCAAGTCTGGCTTCCTTTATATTTGAGATAAACCAAGTCATGAAGCAAGGGTCTCTGATTCCCAAGCAGCTCAAACTGAATTGTCTTTGGGATCTCAAGGCAGTTATGTCCAGGGCCATGAAGGCAGGCTGATATCTTGGAATATTCAGGAAGGAGGGTACTGAGGTGGCAGGACTCACTTACCTATTGATGTCATACCCAGACTCAGCCCTGAAAAGAGAGATTATGGTAAAGGAAGGTCTCCTCATTGTCCCCACCCACCCTTAAACCTCAATACTCTCTTCTCCCTCCCCAAGGTGCCCACTCATAGGGCTACTTATGACAGGATCACTTGCCCCTCACCCCTTCCTTTTGTACTCACGAATGCAAAAGAGCAAGAGAGTGAATGCCTGCAGCATAGTAGCCCCCTCCTCTGGCCTGTCCTGGGTCATGAGGCACTTCAAGGCTTGAAGGGTTTTGTCACTCAGCAGGTGATGAGATCTAAAAGCACAAGTATTTTGTTCTGATCCTTCAAGTTTAGTTGGGATCACTAAACTGCAGTTGACAATCCTACTGCCTTCCACTCCCTTACAAGCACACAAGGTATTACAAGGTCACCTGCTACTTCTTCCCTTTGCCCTTTCTCTCCACTTCCCCCTCCACCATCCAAGGTCTTTGCTGGTGCCTAAGATGTCAGACTTGTTGAAATTTCTGTTTTTCCCTGGGGTCTCAAAGGCCTAGAGGGGTGACTGAATCCAGGGCAGCAGAAGCCTCATGGGATGAAGGAGATGGGAGGTATAGAGAGTCACCTTTACAGACTATATCTATATATCTATATCTATATATATGATTCTATCTCTATCTCTATCTATATCTATATGTAATTTTCTGAGTCTTCCAACAATGTAGCAGAGGAGGAGCTCTTACCATCTCAATTTGCTGGCAAGGAAACTGAGGCTTAGAGAAGACCTGTAATTTGCCCAAAGTCAAAAGATATTAAATATCAGAGCCAACATTCAAATATATATTTAACTTCAATGCCTAAGCTCTAAAACCAGTATTTAAACCCCTACAGGCAGCCCTTGCCCGTATTCTCACCTTCATGCATCCCACCCATTTCCTTCCATCTAGGGCTTCCCTTCTGTGGAATGCTTCAGATCCAATATTCTTATCTCTTACCCTCCAAATCTCAAAACCCCATCTCAAGTAGGTGTTGAAGAATCAAGCCAATTGAGCTAACTAATGTAATATGTAAGTGATTATAAGCATTTTTGTTTATTGCCCCTAATGTGAAAAAAAAATTGTTTGAATTTCAGGGAATATGGTAAAGATTTGAGTTCAGGGAGGTCTCCACATTTTCTGAAAATCACTATTGACCACAGACCCTGCATATACATAAGTTAGACTCTTTATGCTTTCCTGCCTCCTTCCACTCCACCCAGAGTATCCTTTTGCCAAGCGGAGGTGTATCTGCATCACACAAACTCAGGATATCTCTCCTCCCCTAACTCTCTATTCAGAGTCTGAGGTCCTGGTCTCAGTAGAGTAGGGGTAAAAGCAGTTCCCAGAACAGAAAGGGGCTGATTTTCCTTCCCAAACTGATCCTAATGCCTCAGCCTCTAACTTGCTCCAGTGCTAACACTTTGCAGATAGAGAAACAGGGAAAAGAAGATTCATTTTCAAACACTTGGGCTGTAGGAAGCAGGCGGACAGTCGGAGATCCAAGGAGGCAGTTTCCTTTTGCATTTCTCCCTTTGCATTGAAGGATGCTCAAATCACCTTCTCTGAACTTTTCTTATCTGTAAAGTTGGGCAATAATATCTACCTAGCATTGTTGTGTTGGATCAGAGATAATATATGTATAGTGCCAGACACATAGTGAACATTTCATAAAAGAGGGCATCAACCTGTTATAAGTTCCTAAAGATGTTCTTTCCATCTCACCTCTTACAGCCCCTTGTCCCTACAGGACCGGGCTTGGATGCCACCCTGTTGCTTTGTTCCCCTGAGGCTTTGGGCCAGAATTTATTGGGGAAGCCAGGTTTCACTGCTGAAGGAAAGGTTCAACCCGGGATTCAGCCCATGAATACTATCTGAGATTCCAGCCTTGCTGGAATCCCTAAACTAGATTTTTGCCTCTTGGGGGCATGAGTGGAATCAGGGAAGCTGAGCTACTCAGCATGAATGAGCCCAATCACTAAGGAAACTATACCATTTATATTCAGACAGATGATGAATCTTATGTCCAGGGAGCTTGGAAAGCAGCTGCAAGCTTTAAGTTAATTGGCCACGCCCATTTTGTCCTTTCGCACTCGCACCCCCCACCCCAATCCCCAATTTCAGCAGTCCAGCATTTTTACCCTCCCTTTCTACTCCATCCCAACTGCTTTGCCCAACCTGAAGCAGCACCTAAGTGCTTTTAAGGGTGACATATCCAAAATGTCTAATGGCTTGCCCCCTGCATAGCTTTAATGGCTCCAGGAGTCAAAGGAGTTGGGCTCAGCGGGAGGTGCAGGGTACATACTCAGCTGAGGAATTGGAGGGAAGACTGAGAAGGACAAGGGAAAATATCTACAGCGCGCAGAGATTCTCAGGGAGGCAAGACTGGGATGGGGAGAGAAGAAGAAAGGAAGAGATGAAGAGGGTTGAGGGGACAGGCTGAGGAGGCAGTTTAATTTACAGCAATTAATTACGGCGGGAAGACTATTTGAGGTTTTGTTTAGGATCTGATGGCCAGTATTTAATTTGCAGCCCCTGGGCTATACGCTCGTTTGCAGGTACTTACGGTAGTTGACGGCCGGCTCCGATGTTGGAGATTCTCCAGTGAGCTTCTCCAGACGCTGCAAACTGCCCGGCCAGAGAACTGTCTAAGAACACCTCTCAGGCTCCTCGCCCCGCCTCGCTCTCTCTCCTGCTTGCTCACAGGCCAGCTCCAACATCCTCCCCTCCCTCTGCCTGGCTCTGAGAGCTCATCTACGCTAACTCTGCCTGACACCTGCAGTTCTCTGACAATCAGCATTTATTTCTATGTCCCTCCCAGCTCTCCGCCTCTTTCTCGACTCTGCAGAAGTTTATGGAGACAAATTCAGGCCCCTGCCCTCTTGCCTGTCGCTCAAAGTTTCATTGTGTCACTGTATTGTGGAGGGGAAAGGGCCAGCTCTTAAAACTGCCAAAGCTGTAGACTCCTCCTCTCCAGCTCCCCAATGCCTTTAAAGGGGTCTCAGATCTTCTTCTGCCCATTTAATACTCCACTTATGTTTACACATTACTACTGTGGTTTAAATGCCTACTGTGTGCCTCTGGGCTCTGGGCATCTACTATTTCTAATCTTCATAGCAACTCTACAAGATGTGTTACTTCCCTCAATTTTAAAGATGAGGAAACAGAAGCTTAGAGAAGGTGAAGTAACTTGGACAGACTTCAAAGTCTGGCTTGAGGTAAAAGCCCAGGCTTTAGAGACTTACAAATTTGGATTTCAGTCCAGGTTCCATTATTCAATAGCTGAGTGACTTCGAATGAGTTAAATTCTTTGAGTCCCAGTTTCTCCATCTGTAAAATAGACAACAGAAGCTATTGCACAGGACTTTGATGGAATAGTACAAGTAAAACTTAGAGCACTAAGCCTGGTACATGGTAAGTGCTCAATAAGTTATAACTGCTGCTGTTACCACTACTACTACTATTATTAACTTGTAAAGTGTTCCCCAAATGTCCTAAAGTAACATGATTTCAATGATGTAGACAACCTTTCACTAATTTGGTTGACCATGAAAGACTTTTTGAAATGGTAACGTATGGATAAGATGCCACCCAAAGTTCTGATATATATGATAAGAGCAAAGTACAGCATCTAATGGATTCACAAATCAATTGTTGGAAGAAATAGACACATTTTTCTTTATATTTATATTTTTATCTTTATAAAAGGTTAAACATTATCTACAGAACAAGTAAATTAAAATCAAATTGTAAAAATAAAGTAACACTTTTAATCAGAAAATGGAATATCATATCTCGGTGCATCAGGTGATATCAATGGTGGCTTCCTGGCACCCTGTGTTCCTACACACCATTATAAACCGGATTATATTATAAGGAATAGAATAGTCATATTACTATAAATCTGTGTTTTGGGGGGCAAGTTATTTAGTTTCTCCAAGCCTCAGTTTTCTTATTTGTAAAATAGGGATAATAATTTTACTTACTATCACACAGAGTTTTGGGTAGAGTTGAATGAAAATCCTCCTGTAAACCACTTCATAGTGCCTGGAACACAGCAAGCATCCATTAATTCAATAAACGTTGAGTATTTTCTTTGTGCCATGAATTGTTCTAGGTGCTGACCACTCAGAGAGAATGGCAGTTTCTGCTCTTAAGGAGTTTGTAGTCTAAGGATAAACAGTGATAGAGAATGAGGAATAAGATACCCAGAGGAGGGAGTGCCATGAGAGTCAGAGGATTGTAATAGGAAAGACCAGCAAGTAAGGTATGGAGAATTGCAAGCAGTTTGTTGTTGCAGTGGGCCTAAACTAGGGCAGTGGAAGCAAAGAAGAGGGGAAAAGTAAGTGTTCCTAAAATATTTAGGAGGTCAAATTGGCCAAATATGTTAGTTGTTTGGAACACAGTAGTGATATTTATTATGTGTCAGTGATAATCATTATAGTCATTAAAATATGCATGCCAATTTTCAAAACATTTATGTAGAAATCACTACAATAGTATCAGGCACTATAAATATTAACTCATTGTGTCCTTATAACACTATGGGATAACTATCATTATCAGCCCCATTTTAACAGACAAAGAAACTGCAATTAAGCAAATTGCCTGATACTTACACAGTCAACAAGTGGCAAAGCTAGTATCTACATCCAGTCTGTATATACAGTCTCACATTTTTTTTTTACAAATTAATCCACTTTATTGATGCAACTATATATCTGAAAAGGGTCTTATATAGAAATGGTTTCTGAAAATTTCTTTGCAAAGTAACTAAACAACTTCTCGACAACTTCATAGCTCTTTAATTCTTTTTTTTAATTGAGGTATAATTGACATACAATATTACATTTTCAGATGTACCACATAATAATTCAATATTTGTATATAATGTTAAATGTGGTCCTATATTCTTAACCAGTACCCTATGCTGTCTCTGCATTGGATGGTCAGATTGATAAAACTAAAAAAAATTAAAAATTTAAAGAAACATGAAAATAGTGAAATAGAAAAGCACCAATTAAATGCATTATTAATAAAATATAAAAAAGACAATGATAGCATCCTCCTGCTCTCCATAAGTCCTTGGGCTGAGGCTTGTGTTCTTGAAACAGGAGCCTGACTCTAGAGTCCAGAATCCCCACTAACTGGCCATGAAAGCCTAAAAATGGTCCTGGGACTATGTAGATGAGAACACCGTTCACACTCACCTTTTGCTCTGAGACACTATAGA